TGCGTAGCTTGTCAGTGAACTACAGCTCTGTGTAGTAAATGCTGCTCCATCTGAAAGTACGTGATGGAGATTTACTACTGATCACAGAACCGGCTTCACTGACAAGATGCGCATGACAATCACATTCGATTAATCGTGCAGCCCTAACCTAAAGCCCATTTTTTCAGATATCTACAGGTGCGTGATTTCACACGCAATAATTTTTCCTCTTTTCCTTCCCTTCCTGAACAAAACCCTATTGATCAACTTTTTCCTGACGACCTAGAACAAAAAGGAACCATTTCTGGCTTATTTACAAAACTTGTATCATTATTATCCACTTCTATAACTGCACAAAGAGACTTCTGGCTTTTTTTGTAACGAAAAAAATGCATACAAATAAGGCTTTTAACACTAAATAAAAAAATTGCTTACCAACACACAAACCATTCACAATTGCTAAATTGACCTAAAATAGAAGGCCTCGGCTGAAGATTCGGCTCTCCCTGACAGTAGTCGGCTCTTCTCGTTCACTACAAAGAATCGGCTCTTAGAGCCGGCTCGTTCGCGAACAACATCACTATCTTGTGGCCTCAGGAGAGAAGCCAAAAGCTTTTCTTCACCCTAACCAAAATAATGCATTTTATATTCGAATATAATTCGAATTCTGATAATATTTAAGTACAAAATTCGAATTGAGTTTTTCAGCCATTTTGACAGCCCTAGATTAGAACAGCAATTAACTTACCTGTACAATAAGCTGTTTAAAACGGTTTAAATATAATCACACGTCTTGTGGAGTGCTTTCGGAGTATGCATTTATTTGTCATTTTAAATTTTTGGAAGTCCAAAAAAAGATTTCTTATCCTGTTGCGCCCTCTATAGGACCAGCGACTGGTCGACGTCAAGCTTAAAGCATCATAGCAGAGCATTGAAGTTGACTAGTTGGTGCAACCCCTAATAAATATATATATATATATAAGGCATGGGCCGGTATGAGATTTTGACAGTATGATGACCTTAAGCAAAAATATCACGGTATTGTCGTTACAGCTCTAAAATGTGTTATTTTTAAATGACTGGGTAAAAAAAAATAAAAAAATTCCGCTGAACACAATATATTTTGTTTTTGAGCAACATACAGACTATTAGGAACAGTAGAATTAGTTTATTTTTCTTTGATTTGTTTCCCTTAAAAGAAAAATAAAGACTGACATCTTTATTAAACCTAAATCTGTAATTACAGTTATTTAATTTTAGTTATATAATTCATATACATATCATTTATATCACTTAGTTATATAATTTCATATACATAATTTGATTGAACAATAACCCAATTTGAAGCAAAAACAATGTTCTGAATAGCTTTGTGAAATTAATACTACATGCCTGAACGAAGCAAACAGCAGAAGCTCTGAATAAGATGCAGATTCACTCTCTGACAGCAGGAGGCGCTTCTGGAACACAACATACGGCGTTTCCTTGGTTACCGCTGTAAACAAAGCAGCACTGCGCTGAAACACTGCTGAAGACAGTCAGTTCCCCTCAGAAACACATTCATATAAACCCCCAAATCAATATTGAGGATTTTCTTCCAATAGTTCGTGCATCATGAACAGTGAGTGATCTGCCTGCTACAG